TTTTTTCCCCGCTAACGTAGACATAGCCGTGGTGCCGGACGGCCTGGCCCAGGAAGTAACTAGCAGCTCAAGCTGAAATCGTCTTTGCCGGTGTCAGCGTCCAGGCTTAGAAGTGCTTCCCCGCTCCAAAAGCAACCATTAAACTAAATCACCCGAAAGATACTAGTTTGCTAAACATTTCTGGCTTAGGTACCTATGGCCCTGGCATATGGTAAGTGAGGACGTCTGGGGTTTCAAAAACCGTTCTGGAGAGTTTCCTCTCCGCGGCTCCGTTTCCTTGACGTCCTCGGAGGCCCCAGCCTGTAGGGTTGGGGAAAAAGGGGGGGGACGACAAACTGGACTGGGCAGCCAGCCCGCTGTAAGATTACGCTGCCCGTCGGTTCTCTGCCCTGGCGTGACAGCCGTCGCTGGCGCGTGCCTGCGCCGCAGATAAGAGCTTAACCCTGCCCGAGACCCGTGGGCAGCGCTGTAGCGATCCTTTCTGAATTGGGAGACGGCCGCGGAAATAAGTGTTGCCACGCCGGCTCTCGTTCACGCCTGTGAAACTAGGAAAAAGCCGCCGGAAAGCAGCAGAGCTGTAAAGATAATCATTTTAAGGCTGCTGTTTAGAAAGAGTCTAAGATCCGGACCAAAAGTCGCATAGCCTCAATTCCTCGCGTCACGCTGCCTTTAAGTCTTGTTCTGCGTATGGATTTCCCTTAACAAAGCTGAGTGTAGCGGCAGCTTTCGCAGGCCGTACGCTGCCCCGGGCCCAGTGGGATAAGGCGAAGTCAGGAGGACACAGGCTCAATCTCCTTGTTAGCATTGGTTTATAGTGTAGCCTTTACTGTTGTTTTACAGCCGGTCATTTTTTAAGTTTACAGGGCAGGTTTTGGGGGAGGCGAGGGAGGGTGCACGGAGGTAGCTGTGTGCATGCAGGACCTGCAGCCGCTCACCAGCGCGTCTCACGTTCCTTGCTCTCTGCAATGCTGAGGGCAGATGAGCACGGCTCTGCCCTGAGCCCGGTGATGTGCGACCTCTGGTCGCCACGCGGGTGGCGTATTACCCGAAGGCGCTGCGGTCAGCTCTGCGCGGGGAGTTACCCGAGTCCGACGAGGCCCTCTGCCCTAAAACACGCACCCCTCACCCCCCCCATACGCTGCATTTTTTGTACCTCAGCTCTGTGTCTTTGGTATGTCATGTAACATTCATGTTTGATCCTCACAATTCGACTGAGAGATTCAATGGCATATCTATCACCTTGTTTGTTCACTGCCAGTCATATCATGTTACCTAATCCGATATCCTCCATCCCTAGTCACTTTTCTCTTTCTCCGTGTGAAACCACACTAAATTCTTCCTATGCATTGTTCCACTGCTCCCTTTGTTTCCCTTCGGTTCACTGCACCAGAGCTTTTCCTTTGCATTGTGTTTTATAGTCTCTATCATCATTTGCATTCTAGTTTTAAGACTTATTTTTATTCAACTCTCTCGTCCTCGCCAGTGACTTTTCCTCTGTGTATGCGTTTCTGTCGGTTGACAAACTCAGCTGATTTGCTTTTATAAATTCTAAAGTAGGCAGAGAAATTCAGACTTTCTGTTTTGGCATCACAGGACAGACTCGCTCCCACAATCAGTCATCTTGATATAACGAGCAAGCAAAGCAATGCATGAAGTGTAGCTGTGCTATGAGCAAAGTCCATAAATATTAGAAGCAATTATCAACTTAGTGCCAGGATGAAAAATCACAAGCGCAGTTTGTTTCTAATTGCACAGGCAGGCTACCAATCCTGAACAGTGGAAAGTTGGTGGAGAAATAAAATTTCAGTTTTCTTTGATTTCTGTGAACGTCTTCCTTAATGTGCTGTACCGCTGATTCCTGTAATTCAGACTCAAGCGGCTGACAGTCAGGAGTGATGGTCCAAAAGTTGAAATTTGTAGGTAAGCCTCATCTTTAATCCATTTAGAGGTCATAACTAGTGCTGTAGGCGTTATTCTCCTGCTAGGAGAGGAAGTCTTTCCTACATGTCAGTCTGAACTCTGCAGCAGACAAAAGGAGGCAGAGGTTGCTTCTCACATCTCTGGCAAATGCAGAATTGGGCACTTTTATGCCAGGTCAGCACTTAGAGCGATGTGATTTTACTCAGTTGTCATGCAAATATATTTTTCAGCTTTTCTCCTGTCTAGCACAAGGCATATTAGCAAATGGAAGTTTGTCAGCTACTTCAGCTCATTCCAAACCTCCTTCTTTCATTCTCTCTTATCCGTTCCATAAATCATGGACATATATGCAGCTATCCGGAGCCCACACACAGAAATACATTTGCTGCATGCCTGTCCTGTGACAGGACAGACGCTTAGCTTAGTCTGATTTTTTTCTGAATACTCCGCAGATCCAAAACGCCTCTAATACAAGTCACTAACCGCTTTTTTGCTCTCTTGGCTGCAAAGGAACTACCTTGTTCTGCACTCGCTCCGTCCCTCGAACCCTGCTTCTCCCGGCCGGAGAGACCAGCGAACCGGCGCCCGCCGTCCCGATGGGCTTCACATTCCCCCACGGCCTCCCAGGCACAGTCTACCGGAGATCTGACTTCCCCCGAGGAGCGCAGAAGCAACGACCCACCGGCGGAGACCTCGGCTGGTGCCGCAGGCCCGCCAGACACGTCCCAGGAATGAGCCGCTGCCGCTTGCGGTCTCTGTCGGAGAGGGGGGATCGAGCGGTGGAGGTCACCGAATGTCCTCAAACGCAGCTGCTGAATGTCCACCCTGTGAAACAGAGACGTTTCTAGAATGAAACAGTTAATGTGCCTGTAATAACTTAATTTTTTTCATAGCCGAGAAAACTATTTTTGTCTCCATCTTTTCTACATACAGTATATTAACAAAAAAAAGGTAAAAAATGATATACAGATAAAGTAAGATTTAAAATAAAATGTAAATTAAGTTTTAAGGGAATTTGAATATGTGCTCGCGCTCTCTCCAAATACCGACTGCCTTTTGGTTATATTTGCACTGTTATGTTTTCGATTTTGATTTGGGGGTTTTTTTAGGTTTTTTTTTTTTTCATGTAAAACTAGGGTCTTAAGTTAATTTTATTCTATTTTAATGTCAGTATTATGAGTTTTTAAAGGTAAGGTTCTTAAAGATGCTTCGACTGTCGGAAGCAGTACCTTTTAAGTAGTGAAGAAAGCCATTAAGCTAGTTCACTAGAATTCTATTAATTAAGGTGGAGGGGAATACAGGTAAACTCAAGAAAAAAAATGTAAAAAAAGAATGCCTCAGAAAGTCTTATGGAGTTAGCTGTAAAATACACATACAATACTTGACTTGCATGCCTCTGGGTCCTAGCACTTTAGTGCATGTATATACTGCTACTGTACTTCTACCATCACATAAATGTGAGTCAATCTGTTTCACTGTAATATTGTTGTGAATTTACCTGTACTGTACTTTTATTGTTGGTATTCTTGCATTGACTATACAAAAAAGAGTTTTTAAATTATTGTTAACTGTTCAACTGGCTATGTACAGTGTTTACTGAGAACTTCCTTTGTTTTGAGAAAAAATGTTGCGATCTCTGGGCGTACTAAATTGTAACTGGTCTTGTTTAAGAGTCTGTTGGAGACCACGTGAAGTGGAAATAAAACCCTCAGTATTTACAAAACTGCTAGATTGCTTCATGATCTTTATTTCCAGTCAGAGTTCCCGTGTTCTTTTAACTGGAGGAAAAAGCCCCCAAACTCCCCCTTCACTCATAAGGGAAGGAGAATGCCGCTTTACATGAAAGTAGTAATGGCAAGGCATATATTATGCTGGGCTCCACAGACTCCTGCGGGCACTCGATCAGGCCGTGGGAAGATTTCTGAATTCCCTGAACTGATCTCTGCAAAACAGCTTGCTCACAGAGGTAGCAGGGCCTATCCTCGCGGCTCCTCTGAGGTGTTATGACTTGTGGCTCTCAGTCATTCATGTAAGTGAAAACAAGCCAGGTAAACATAATATCAAAAATATGGCGTGGCAGCTGTTAATCCAAGTCTCTTCTGCATTGTGCGCAGAATCCAGTAAAACCAGAGCTTGCGTAAAGCTGGTGGCTAACATGTAGCACTAAACGCAGCTGAGAACCCAAACCTTCCCAAGATGTGCAAGGCTCTTGAGTTATTTTGCCTGGTAGCATCTGTTTGGCCCCATGCTTTCTCTGGGAGTCCTGGGACTGGTCTGACTAGTTATCCTGTGGCTGAACCGGCTCATTCCCGTTTGACTTCCTGTTGCTTAAGCTCGGTCATTTAAGAGCACCCTCTGGGCTCCCTAGAAGCTTTTCTCATTAGTGCTAGCGAGCGATAAGCTCCCTCACATCCTGTGCTGCTGCGCTATGGCTGGCTTTCTAGGAAGTTTAATTCAGCTTTTGGATGAGAACAAACTCCTGAGCTGTTGGGTCAGCCCCCAAATGAAAGCTGGGAGAGGTCTTATTTCTCCCACGTCAGTTAGGACAGTGGCTATTAACCCAATGTCAAAATGTCAGCCTCTAGGTCACCACTGTGAAAATTGCCACTTACTGAAATAAGCTGTGACCAAAGTACTGTTGTCCAATAGTTCTCTGGTACCATAGCCAAAAAAGCAGTGTCTGGTCCCGCTCCTGAAGCAATGATGGCATCATGTACTAAGTGCCTTCACAGTTGTTTCAAAGCCTCACTGTTAGCATTTTTCATGAGCGTTAAGTTGATGCACCAAGTTTGAACACTTAAAATGATAGGTGGGGGCCACCCTACTTATTTTTCCAATGCTTGTTCTAGCTGCAACACTTCACTTAATGGTTGCAAGAATTTCAGTTTGAGAATAGAAGGAGGAACATGCCCAACTGTTTAGAAGGTCAAAGAAGAGCAAATATGACTATTAAAGAAGCCTTAACTCACAAATGCAACATCCTTGTTTGTTTTCAAAACCATAATTGCCAGGAGCAGTTTTCTAGGGCAGGTGGGAGGGGATACTGATCCCTTAAAAGTTATTTCTCCTAGATGAAGTAAGTTAAAGAAGTTGTAAATGCAGTGCTAGCTACCACAGAGTAAAAATACTCTTCTGTCCCTTGTGACAGCTGTAATTTTTTTTTTAATGATGCAGAAGAAAATTCAGATGACTGATTTGTAGCCTTATTAGCAGAAAGTGGTGTTTGCCTTTCAAATCAGTAAATACACCAGCCCAAAGAATTAGCTGCTGGCCATCCTGAAATAAGAAGGTATTTGAGGATAAGCAGCAGACTGTGGTTTGCCGGGTAAACTGCTTATGAGAGAGCAGGAAATCACAGAAACAAGAGTGAGCCAGCACACAGCAAGAAGGAGAGGGTTAAGTGCAAATAGAAATTCTGCAGACGATCTTATAAAGAATCACATTAATTAAACATAAGTTCCTTTCTAGTCTAATTAGCAAATACAGTGACCTCAAGAAATATCATATGTTTCTATTGGGTCTTTGGAAACACCAAGGGTTTTATCTTCTAAAATTGCTACTGGTGGAGTTGAGAGATTTTTTTCCCCCCCATTAGCCGAGCACACTCTATAATTACTTAAATAAATTGTAAAATAAATGATGGGTCTGTAGTCCAGCTAAGGTTATTTTAAAAGCTTCTAAGACAGAATAAAAAGCCTGTTCAGAAGGTTTGTGGCTCACTCGGTGTCTGTGGCGCTGCTGAATTATTGCCTCATGAATAATCAGGGCAAGAGCAGCCCCGAAGATTGCCACACAAATTAGTTTAAAGGGATGTGAAGACGTCTGTCGTAGCTTCGCCTGATGAGGCTGAAATAGATAGCTGGGTTTCGCCCAGGGATTTGTGGCGCCTGAGCTTATGGCCTTGGGATATTACCTAGTACTCAGCCGGTAATTAGGTGAAGGACTGGGGCCCACGGCTGACTCCCCGACGAGCCAGCTCTCCCAGCTCCCCAGCCCCGCGCGCTGATTTTATGCCATCTTGCCCTGCCCAGCAGGGTGCTATCTCTTGCCCCGGGAGTGGATGGGACCCGCTGTCTGAATTTGGGGCAGCACTACATCTACGTTGCGCCTCTGTGCCAGGCCAAGGGTGGGGCTTGTGCCATCCTTCCTCTCCTTACATCTCCCCCTGCAGCCCCACATATCTGCAGCCATCAAGCTTCCTCCTGCTCTCTTTAGAGGTACCATATCCCTGGCAGTGTTTTGTTTCCTCCTGGTTCCCTTATTTCGACTTCCTGTTACGTAAATCACTGTAACCTGCTAGAGTAATATTAAGCTGTTGAGTACATATAATTTTCATGCGAAATGACAGCTAATATCTTCAGTCCTCACATAGCCCAGCCGGCTTTCCGGAGAGGCTTAATTGCTTTAGGCAAAGTCTGCTTCCCTTCCCTGTTTATCATCTTTTTATCCATCTTGCAGGAGCATGAGACATACTGCCTTCAAAGTCTGGATGAGAGAGACAACTGCCCTGCTAGAGGTGTCTCTAGAAAAAAAAAATCAGCCTCTGTTTCTCAAAATGTCCATTTCTTTTCCTAGCAAAGCCAGGCTAGGACTTCTTCTATCGTTATTCATTCTTCTCTGGTGTACGAACACCAGGCAGAGGCTCCAATCAGTCCTGGCGTCCTCTGCAAAATTTGCAAGACGGATTCTACAGCGCTCAGTGTCTGGGCAGGCTGTCACAGGTGAGGGATCTCTCAATGGGCTGCTGAGCCTGGAGAGAGACAGTGCTTCCCTAAGGAGTAACTATTTTGAGGGAAAGGTAGGGCCGGGGTTGCACAAACCCAAAGCACCTTCTAAGGAGCACCTGGTTTTACAGCTATCAAAGGCGGCTCAGAGCTGCAGGAGGCCTGCGGATGGATGGTGGCAGAAACGCTTGCTCGCACACCGAGCACCCATGTGCCTGAGCTAGTCTTGCCCAGGGTCATGGCTGAGATGTGGGATGAGAAGGTCATAGAAAGGCAAATTTAACAGTGTCTGCAGCAGCTACAAGTGCATAGATGGCTGAATGAGAAAAGGGGAAAGAACTAGCCTGACTACCGAGTTTTAAACAGCTCTTTGGATAGCAGTAAGTCTGGCAGAGCAATGTAAGCGGAAACTGTGCTAACAGGGAAGACTCTGCTGCTAGGCTGTGCAATGGGAATCCTATTAAAAGCCAACAATAGAAAATTTTCTTTTGTCTTGTTAAATCCCTAGAGGGTTTTTTTTATACCTTAATTGGATTTTTTAATCCCTACAGTAAGGCCCTAGAATAGGTTTACACAGAAAAATGTCATGGGCCCAGGTGCTCTGCTCATCCGCCTCCTGCCCCCTTCCCCGGTGTAATCCCTGGGGATTAGGCTGCAGATGAGAGAGCTGAGTGCAAGTGGACAGCCTCCTCCCAAAGGCATTTCTCAGCAGATGCTTTTTTCTTACTGAGTTGGTGGCTTTCAAAACACTAAACCCTGCAGTAATGGGCAACAGGGCACAATTCTGGGGTGCTGAAGAAGTTGCCCCTGGTATTAAGCTACACAGGTGAGGAGTGCTCCATGCGTGTTACCTACCGAGAACTACAGTTTTACGTGCTTAGGCAATTAGGAGCATAAATCTCATGGGTTTTCTTCCCATGTAAAAGACTTAAGTAAGTTGGACACTTTGGGAATTTTTACCACAAACCTCTGACCAGGGCTTCAACATGTTTATCTTTAAAATATGGCCTTGATTCCTGACGTTGTCTTAGAGATGTGCATTGTTTTGTTCTTTGCTAGATTTTCTGCATGCTGCATTGGTAGGACAAAAAAAAATCCACTTTGCATACATGAATGAGAGGAAGAACAATGAAGGCCATGATTTTGTCACAGCTATTTCCATGACAAAACCCAAGACTTCTGAGAGGGTATTTTCTTAGCACAATATCACTGTGGTTTGTCATGGAAATCACATCTGAGACAAAATCAAAGCCCTGGCTCTACAAATTATCTGTGTTCCCCTCTGTCTGTGATGCTTCTGACAACATCACAGCTTTACTACTTTTTGTACTTACATTTAAAATGTAAGTTAAATATATCATTCTGTACAGTCATCTTAAATACATCAAGACAAATAGATGTGTAATTATATTTTAAAAACTTATTACAGTATTAGAAAAAGAAGTAGTAGGGTGTTGATATAGTTGGGAGGAGAGCAGAAGTTTGAAGTCAGGAGGACAGAGTTAGCCCCTGAAGGCCAGTACCCCAAGCCGTGTTCAGTAAATAATGGTCCTGATTCTGCTTTCCCTCAGAGCAGCCCTGAAACTGCAGCTTGGCTGAAGCAAACCTTGAATTGTGCTGGTGCATGTGCAGCTTTAAGCTCGGACTTTGCCTGTTTATAACACTGACTAATTGTCAAATAAGCCCACAAGTTTTCAGTACGATAGACTGGCCTGTCAAGTGTCAATCTTGAAGAAAGTAGTGATAGCTAGTGAAGGAGAAATTGTGGCACATTATTCCCTGAATTTTACAACTTTTTTGCATCAAGAACAGAAGCACCGTTATTTAGTCAGAAACTGCAGTTTTACAGTGTAACTTGTCAGCATTAATCATCTCCCCATGTACATGGGTTACTTTTACTCGCAAATAATTACTGCATCTTGCTACCGCAGCGCTAAATAATTTAGTAGGAACATTTCCCTGATCAGAAGGATCTGACGGGGCTCTTGATCAGAAGGAC